TTATTTGAGAACATTAGCACTGATCGCTTATGCTGTGTTCCTAATTATTTCTGAAATATTGTGCTGTTGCCCATGCTGAAAAGCGTAACGAGCAAAGAGGTAGGCTAGTTTGAAATGCAATGTTCTAACTGGTTTTTAATCAATGAGTGATAATGATAGCTTGTGTTTTGACTTTCACTGTTTAATTGCCAGTAATAAAGCAGGTCTTAGTTGATGATATTTAACAGAGTTCAGTTCCATTTATCTCCATTTATTCTATTTATTCTAAAAGTGCCTGGGAGCTTTCTGTGCTTGACACAGTAACAAAATGTACAATGCTAATTATATTTTGGTTGCCTGATATTTTCCATGATAGAGGACCATGATGCCCTTTCATGGGAGCCATTGCACCTCGTTGTTTTCAGCAGGTTTCTGAAATGCAGTAGGTGTCTAGTGGTAAAGCTATTTTCCATGTAATCCCAACCAGATTTTTCTGAGATACAGACTGTTTAAATCACTATTTCCCTTCTGCTGCTTATGATAGTTGTGATTTTTTTTTTTTGCCAGGATGCCAAAATATTAATTAAACATAAATATTCTAAGGGTGAGGCTGATCTGCAGGTGATGCTGCTTGAGAAAGTACATCTCATCAAAACAGCCGTCCTGGCTCAGTCTACAGATTCATCCAACTGATTACATGACAGCCAACCAAAAGCAGACACCTGAAGAAGAACATAAGAGCTGAGATGGCGTATAGCTTGAATACTACATTGCATATACTACTTTTACACTACATGCAATGACCAAAGCAGAGCTGAACCAGGATGACTTTTCTGGTCTGGCCAGTGGACACAATAAAGCAAAATCCCCTGGGAGCAGAGAAGTGTGCTGTACACCAGAAACCAGGCAGAGGTTCTCTATTTGTATGGCGACACAAAGGGCTAAGAGGGAAAGTGAACAGATATTTCTACCTGAACCTTGAGTTTCTTCCCTGGCCAATAGCCAATTTTGCAATAGACTGATTTTTGGTCAAAAAAAGACCTTTTTTGCGTAAATTCTAAATTTAGTTTTAATCTACCAAATAGATGTCAATACTGTAATAGCAAGCATATGTAAATCAGTCAAAATGATAAATATTTCTATAATATCCTGCCTGATTAATCTAATTTAAATCAGTATCAGCCTTAGGTTTAAAATGTTATAAATACCTCTTGCATTCCTCTTCAATTATATGTAAGAAAATAAAGACCTTTTTAATCTTGCCTGGATCATTGCTTAAGATGATTTATTTCTCAAGCTTTTATTCCCAAGTTATCAATCATTTGAAAGCAAGAAGTAGGTGGCAGCCTGAAATTTCTATATCAGAGCTTCTTGTGTCGTAAAGAATTTTGTCATGGTAGTAATTGGGACTCCCAAAATTCTCTTCACGTGTTGTTAAGTGATTTTCATTATCTCTGTAACTTCTAAGCATTATTCCAGAATATAAAACTTCCTACCTACATGCAAACTCCTTTTTGATGTCAAGTTCTTGCAGCTAGTTGCTGACTACCTTTATTCATGCCTGTTATTTAAGCCCTAGTGGGAAAAGCAAGCATCTCCGAGTCAGCCATTTTGTTCCAGTTATTCAAAGTAAATAAGCAAAATTTAAATAACATGTACACAGGGTTTAAACATCCACCTGCAATTTAAGTCCCCTATAATGATGATTGTATCTAGCTTTCTACGAGGTCTGGGACTCATAATACTGCAAAAAACAAAACACTGCTTCACATTAGAACATGTTTCTTCTTATTTAACATAAATGGGAATTATGAAGTGTGCCCTCTGGAAAAAAAAGAGGAATTGTTGTTTGCTTTTCTATATTCAAACTATTTGCAAACTAACCTTTTTCATTTCTTTTTCCTTCCATTGTGGCTGGATCTTTGCTACTAAGTACCTGCCTGAACATAATGCAGCTGTCATCAACATCCAGTAGCTATTGCACACCAAATTGGTACAGTTCTCAAACTCCATATTATTAGTACATCGATTATAAGTTATTAAATGGCTTGCAGCCACTATAAAGAGCAAAGAGATATTCTTAGCAGACTTATTCCCTCTTTCCCTGCAATGTGTGCACGTATAATTGTTTGTAAGGATGTATATGTGCTATATAACTATATGCACACATCGATATAGGATAAATATATGTTACATAGTAGTGTTTCACACACACAGAGAAGATTATTAAGAAAAAATGGACCATCAGTTGCTTATATTTTGTTCAGTAGGGGTTGATCCATTGCCCATTGAAGTTTATGAATGGCTTTCCCTGACTTCAAAGCACTTTGGCTCGTAGTCTTTACATAGAAAAAAATGGATGAAGCATGAAATTGTATCTACCACCAGCTATAAGAGTGCTAGCCAGACATAGCGTTCATCAGGCTGCTGCACATTTCTGCACTGAAATTAGAGTCACACTGGGGAAATGAAAAAAAAAAAGGTGTCCTTGTACATTCAGTCATATTTGATCAGTATTTTCCCAGCAGATTCCCCAGGTCTTTTTGCCATAGGGTAGTAAGAAGGGTGCTATGAAAGATGGCAAAGATTTGCGTAAATGAGCTTGAAGATTAAGTGGCTTGGATGTCCCACATACCTCAGGCTAGCCAAAACCAAGGAGGCAGAGGAGTAATGCATTTCAGTCTAACTTCTTGAAACCACTCAGATGATTTGTCCTAACACAGGAAAAGGGAGAAAAGAGAGACAGAACTATTCCTCCTCCTTGGCTTGCTCAGCGCCTGGAGGATGGAGGCGATGGAGCAATTCCCTTTGTCTCTCTCTGTCTCCAGAGACACTGGATGGGAACGTAGGGCTGCAAAGCAAGATGCTTAATGAAAAGACTGAAATATGTCTGAAATGAAGCTTAAAGGCTGGAAGAAATTTTTATCTTTCTTACCTCCCCTCCCTCTTTTGAGTATGAGCAGAACTGTAGCTTGCCATAGTGTTACATGCTTAGCCAAGTTAGTAGCTACTCTTTACAGAGCATTGATCAGTAGTTGCAATGGAGTTTTGGAGTCATTACACAAAACCCCAGAGCTGACCAGCACTAGCAGTGACAAAAAATGTCTGAGCTTAATTAATCACCATCCTTCTAAGGCAGTAAAGCACAGTTCTATTTTGCACAATAAAAAAGTTACAGAGAAACAAAGTTCTGGATTTAACTGGCAGGATATTAAATGATATAGCTGTTACCTTTTCCTGTATTATAAATTATTGAATTAAGTCTTCAGTCAGTTTGGCAACAGTGCCAAATGAATATTACAACAGTACAATGCAGCAAACAGTATCTGTCATTGAATCTAGGTCTCACTTATAACTGAAATTACAGTGAACAAAATGCTTGTGCAGTAGATTGGAAAAGGTTCATTATTATTTATTCATCTTACCTAGTAACACAAAAACTAATGAAATTTCATTGAGAAGAGTGCACATCAGGATTACTATACATCATAAAGACACATCCCTCTAACTTCATTGTGGATATTTGTCTCTGTAATTAGATGTTTGTTCCACAATAGTTCTGCACCTGAAGGACATGACCAAGTTCATGACACAAAACAAATCATCTACACAGATGAAAAGGCTTCCTTTATCTTGCCTACATCTTGCATAACAGCACAAAAGTCTTCATAAGATATTTCCATAAAGCCAGTGAAGTCATGCACAGGTAGTAATTCTAGCATTGTTACTCACACATTATTTATTTTTGAATAAAATACTACATTTTTAATACAGTTCACAGACTAGTGTGTTCATAACCCCTACACTTATTCAGGCTATTGTACCTTTACATGTATCTCCACAAAGAACTGTTCATAAATCTGTGTTCATCTGTAGCCAAAGGTGTAAGCTTAGTGAAGCTCCATTGAATGCTATCCGGAATACATCCATTATCAGCAAGTTTCCTTGCTGTAGCTTGAACCTGTGGTCTGGAATTTTTAGGGAATATTTTGTTTTCGTATTGAATGCAGTCAGTATCATATAAATCAGAAGGAAGAGTTTGATTGCTATACTCAGTATAAAATGATGAGAAGCATCACTTTTCGGCATTTAGAGATCCATCCTTAATTATTTTGGAATTGGAATGTGTGTATATATCAGACCAGAATGCAGATGGGTAATAAAATCACTGATACCCAATTATAATCACAGAAAGTTACCTCAAAGTGTTGTGGCAATACTGGTTATCATAGCAGAACTGTTAAAAATGTTTGAAGCATCAGATTTTGACAAATTCTTTTGTCAATAATTATTTAATGGAACAAGACTTATAATTCAATATGGTCAGTTTTGCATAATAATTATTACCTGCGATATATCACATGTATTTATATGCTAGATTCTGGCAGTCCTGACAGCTGGTAATGTTAGTAATTAAAGTCATATTTTATACTTTCATTGGTCGTTTTCACACCCAAGTACTTCAGGAAAATGTGCAGTTATTGTATAACCTGAGTGCATTGCTTGGCACATTAACCTCAGATCACACCTACCTACACCACCATACAGGTTATGTTTAAATATTAGGAAAAATATTGGAATATTTGAATAATTTTTCAAGGAATAAATTTAGGGTCTACAGAATTGTTTTCAGTGAAGACATTTAACACTTTTGTGCCATTTACCAGGGCTGGAGAAGCAGAAGCAACACTACTTTGGTCTTGATAGTTACCTATCCAAACTCAAATCCAGACCGTGATTCCCTGGGTGAGCCAGAGACCACTACTCCAAATTTGACTTTTTCAATAGGAATTAAGACTTGAAAGGAGCCCTGTGTCTCTGGAACTCTGCACATCCATGTCTGAAGGGAGAAAACACACAAAAGTTGAAAGCCCTTTTGGGAAAATCCTACAGGTTTTAGACTGCTTCTGCCTGCTCAAACCTGTAACATCTAATCTCCCTTTCTTTGTGTATGTCTACTGCTTCATTCTCTGATTGAGAACTGAATGTCTTTCTCAATTGACATTCAATCAATCGAGAGAGAGAAGAGGGAAGCCTGCCTCCCATTTCCTATAGTTCTGGCAAGTTAGTTTTCCTTTTACAGAATGCTTTTATGGCTCTTTTCTTCTTTTTCCACCTTCTTTTCCAGTGTTAACATCTGATTTCTTGAACTGATGTGCATTACTTTACACTTTCCTGATAGCAAACAGCATCTCATACATTACCTCTTCTTTTGCATCTGTCATGCCCCTTTTAAAGTCCTTGAGCTGCCTGGGCCAGGCTTTTGATGAGGAAAATAATCATTCTGTTCTGCTTTTGACAAGTTAAATCAAATAAACCCAATGGTATTTGCAGGGAAAGACTCAACAACATTTGTAGGCCCTATAAATTCCTCATCTTCCAATTAAAGCTTACTAGTGTCTTCAGCTGTGAAGAAAATTAGACAGATTTTGAAATCATTTGGACTTTTCATATTTTTTTCTACCCATGCTGTTGTTACAAGGTTGGAGTCCCTAACTCACCTGTCTCATCTTTTTAGCTAGAGCTGACAGGTGTTTTACTATCAAGCTGATTTAAAAGAGGCATCTTAATCAGGTGTCAGCTTTGGCCCATAAAGTCATATTAATGTTTTGGATCAGATATGAGGCTCTATCTAAGGCACATTAAGAAAGATTCATTAGAAACTCACTACACCTGGAATTTACAGCCTTCCTTGGAGCTTAATAGCCTGGATAAATTCCTCCTTATCTGGTTTGCTTATGTGAATTATAGCAGTTTTGCATTCAGAAGCTTTTCAGAGTACAGATTTTGCCATTATTTTGGATTCTTTATTCTTACTGTCTTCAGTAAGGGTGCACTGATAGGCTACATATAAACCTGCATGACCCCTCCATGTCTGCTGCATGAGTCCAAGTGAGGAAAGAGCACCCCTCGTCCATCACTTATTTGGGATTCTTCAAGCACACAGGACTCTGTAGTCTTTGAGCACCTCCACAAAACATGGTTGCAGCAGAAATAATCACTGTAGTTGCAAATACTGCAGACTTTGGAGCTCTCAGAACAGAACTGTACGTTTCTCGGCCTTGAGCAATTAATACTCTTGAGTCTGTCTACTTGGAGCTGATTCATACAGGCAAACCCAAAGCTTTACGTGGTCTTTCTCTGCCAGCAAAGCATGACGTTTCTAGGACAATTTCACCAAACAGAATTTATCTGACGTTACTCAGCAGTTTTGATTAACAATAATTACAACTCCACTTTGTAAAAAAAAAAAAAAAAAAATCATAATAGAAAGGAAAAGCTGTGTTAGGAAAGGGATAAAAAGATAATCAGCTTGTTTGCAAAATTGGTCCACTTGAGTTATGTATACATATGCTACAGACTGGGTCTTGAACAGTCTAAATTGCTCTCAGGCTGTATTGCCTATCATTTCCAGTTGAACAGATACCTGGTAAGGAGCTAAACATGAAGCCAGCCAGAGTCAGGCAACAGAAAAGTACAGGGAGCAGGATTTGGCTGGAAATTAAGTTGATCAAGAGTAGGCTCCAGATTTGTGATTTATTCTCCCTGTCTGGATGAGACAGTGCATAAGCATTTAAATATTTATTGTGACTAACCAAAACCTCTGACTATATTTGAGATGAATATCACAGCCCAAAATAGCTAACTGATGCTCACAAAGCACCGTGATATCCTCTGCTGATACATAATTATGAAAAAAACAGGCTTCCTGCTCTTCCATTGGCACTGTGTTAATCTTTGTATTGGCTGAAGACAATATGAAATAACGAATAAACGAATGCTGATTCATTTTCATACTTTAGATCTGAATTCAGACAAGGATAATTATGGTCTTTATGGAGATCATTTAGTATCATAACGAAATACTTTTTAACTTCTTACAAAACATTTCATAACAAGAGTTTATGTTTGCTTTCTAGCACCACACTGAGGGTTTCCACACAAGTTTTATGAACAAAATTATAAATTTAATAAAATATTTGTATTCCAATAGATTTAAAAAATTTTACTTACTTGAATCTTAACAAAAGTAAACAGTCCTATAAAGATTCATTTGTCATATGTATCTCTGGAGAAATCATGGTGACTGGTATTGAATCTAGAGAAAGGGGGGGAAATATATGGCCATTTGCTATACAAAACGCAAAAGGATGCATCAGGAAATTGGAAATGACCAGTCTGACCTTCTCTACAAATAATACCTTCTCTATAAATATGAGATGGACTCATAGTATACTGTTGGCTCTGAAAGTGCACATCATTTCTCACAAGTTTCATGTTATTCTCTGCTACAGATCAGGCAGCAAGAAAAGGATATTAAAGAGAAAGCCAAATGATTGCACAAAGCCACCTGTACTAAAATTCACGGCTAATATTTATTTGATAGGGACTGTGATGTGTCTGCTGTTAAGGAGCTGTTAGGGTACACGTAAACGATTGTGTTCCTGTTTGACACAATAAGGGTCTGCTGTATTAAGGACATTGAAAAGGGATGCAAGAAGTAAGATGTTCAAAAGTCTGCAAATGACAAATGAGTCTAAATTACATTTAGAACTCATTATGGGAATTTAATTCCAGATTTACCAAAATATTTTCATTTTTCTCAGCTAAAGCAGGGATTTTTATATACATCAGGCAGCTTTCCATTGTTAATTTCAGTCCCACCCAGCTACACTGATTTAAAAAATGATCCCTAGGGCATTTGGGTGCTTTAGAAAACCTTTTCACTGGTGGCTCTGGGAAGGTAGCAAGAATGACTAACAGGATAAGTAAATTAAACCAGAAGGGGAAAAAAATTCTACCAAAGACAAGTCAAAGGATCAATTGTAGAAACAGCAAAATAAGAAGTCTTAAAAATTGTCAAGGGATTAAAAATAGAAGAGTAACAGGAAAAGGAATAAAGATTATTTAACTATAGCCAGCCACCCTCTCTGAGGGCCCCACATGGTTTGCTCAGCAAATTGCCTTCTTCCCTACTCTCCACAACAAGATGATAGACTACTGTGAGAAATAGAAATAGAACTGGTTTAACTTTACAGTCATTTGATTCCGAAAGCATGAAATAAAAGAAAAATAATACAGGGTTTTAAGTCCATTTTGGGAGAGGTGTAAATTTTCTGATAGAAAGGACTGCAAGATACGAGTTATTTTTACTAGAGCATCTTGCTCTATGGCTAGAGTCCCTTGGAAGAACCACAATATAAAGACCAGAAAAATATGAATTGAAGCTCTAGACAAATGTAAGGACCAAAACACACACTTATCTTTAGGTACTTGAGTAATCCGACCAAAATCAAACAGCAAGGCCATATCATGTTTTGAATGTAGTTGAGCAACACATATAGTCTGTAGAGTTTAACAGAATGAAAGAGTTGTGGAAAGTGATACTTTTTATGTGATTTACTGCATTTTATAGTCTGTTGTGTCACTTATAACACCACATATAACATTCAGCCAAGTTTAATATTTTGTCTTCAGACCACTAGCTCATCTCAGCTGTTTTAGTGGCCTGACTTGATATCCTAAATTGAGAGGATGTATTTTTGCTTCCTAGTGTGCCAATGCTATCTCCTTTATAACGAGATATTCTTAAAATGAGATGTGTCTACCCAAACAGCTATTGTAGTATAAAACAAATCAATCTTTTTTGAGTGCTACTTTGAATTTTATTCCAGTTCTCTTGAAGGCTATTTCTCACAGGTACTGCTCATGAAAACACACTCACAGCTGGGCTGATGTTCTGAGTTTTCAAAGGATATACAGTGCAAATTGGGCTAAAAACACACAGGAATGGACACCTTGATTCAGATATGTGAAAAACATTATCATTATCAGATGCCATCCTTAAAAAGCTTCTGGTCAAAAACTGAAATATAAAGCATTTTCCTTTGTTCATCACTCTCTAGTTTTGCCGAATGTTCTTTGCTTTATCTCCACTGAAGCAAGAAAGACTATATTCACCAGTAAAAAGCAATTTTTCTCCTAGAAAGATGGGGTTGTCAACTTTTCTGGTTTAGTGGAAACTATTTCAGACATAAAATAAATAAAAAATAATTAAACAAAATAAATAAAAAGATATAATTAAATATTACATTATTATTACTTCAGAACAAAATTATTCATACAATTGCAGGATTAGGGCTCTTAGAATAACAGCAAGTGCCACAAAATAATGCAAGCTGACAACAGCGCTGATCTGGCTTTCTTAAAGTGTAGAGGACATCATAGACTGGAGTGGTGGAAAAGTACAAAGGGAGATGAATATGCATACAGCTGGTAGCAGATACAGATCTGATTTTTGACATGCAGTCTGCAGTTGCTTATAGCCCTGCAGGTGTTTGGGTTGACAGGGTGCCAGTAGCTAGTGCTGACCTGGCTGGGGTAAAGCTTGGGGAACTGCCTGGGGGTTCACACTGAGTTAATGCATCAGGACAGCTTATCATCTTTGGGGATGCAGGAGACTCTGCTGGTGTCAGTAGAGCAAGACCTATTTGTAGCAGCTGAGAAAATTTTCTAGAGTTACAGAGCTATAGAGCACTTGGAGAACTACATTTGGGAACCTGGGGACAGAAGTGATAACACAAAGTGGTGAAGCAGTGGCCTTTGGGAATTAGATGGTACCTTCCCTCTCTCATTACCAACAAGCAGACAAAATAGGTGGATAAAATCACTGCCAACATTTATGTTGCTTCCAGAATACAATTGTAGAGCAATTAGTTTTTTGGGTTAATATTTCTTCTTCCCAGCTATGCAACTTTACTGCAAACTCTGAATTTCTTGGACTGATGTAAGATATCCAAGAAGTGGAGAAAAGCTTTATTCAGGGATCTGGGATCATTTATTTGCCCTGTCACTAGATTCAGTTATAGCTGTAAAAAAAGTCAGTTAATCTCCATAAAAGTTTTTCTTGCAGGAACCTCTGAGATTTTGAGGAAGCAAATGTGTATCACCCCAGTCCACATGTCTCTTGTTCCTCTGTGTTTACATGCTACAATTAGACTCTGTGGGTCAATGGGAGGATACTTCTGAATATTATATGTAATCAACCTTTGTTTGATGTTACTTTTGTTTTAAAAGTGACCAAACAAGAGAAAACAACCAACCAAACAAGAAAACCCCCAAAACCCAAACCAAACCCTGAAACCATAATGTACCTTGCAATCCAGAAGCCATTTGCTGGTCTGCTGGGGTCCTCCTCTCCATCTCCCATGGTATGCACTGCCATGGACTGTAGCAAAAACTGTGTTGCTGGAGCTTGGCTGCAGTCAATGAGCTCCCTGTCTTCTGAAGGGTGATATGAGGCAGACACATCCACCAGGCGAGCAGGGAGGTAGGAGTGCCAAACACAGAAAGCCACAACTTTATCCTTTCCTGCTTCGAGTCGCCATCTAGAGCACAGATATGAGGTAGATGGGGGAGATTTAATAGACTGCCTTATAGCTTCCATAGGAAATATGCAAAGAAGCTAGTCTTCACTGGCACATGCAAAATAAATCAACACCACCTAGGATATGCAATTTTATTATCAATCAGGCTTGAAATATTTCCTCCTTAATAGCCAAAAGTCTGGACGTGCATTCTCTGCTGAATATAACAGCAGACCTTAACTTTTGACCAAAAGCAAAGGATACTTTTATGTGTAAGGACATGTTAAAGTTGTCTAACCTGAAATTATTGTTTTTTTTTTCACAGAGGAAGAAACCCTTCATGGTCTTATTTTTATCCAAGAGCCATATGACACCACTTACTCTGTGGCCTCAGCAAATACAGAAATCCTACTGAACTGTACAGCTAAAGGATACCCACTCCCATACTACAGGTGAAGTCAAATTTGGAAGAGCAGTGTTTCACTGTAAATCTGTGTTTTAATCAGTAGAACACCATCATGCGTACCTCAACATGTGTTGAGCACTTACAGCTAGAGTAAAAATAGGCATAGTAAATTTGAGGAATGAAAGAAAAATATTTTTGCTAGTCTACTGTTAAGAGAGTTAACACAGGAGAAGGAAGTACATCATTGAAAATTGTCCTCAGATTATTTTAAAACATACAAAATTACTTCTGATTCCACAAAACAGCTGTGAAAAACTGTAAAAAATGAAATGCTGTGCATCTGTATTTGATAAAACTTTCCATACATTAATAAATGCTTGGAAAGCAAAGGAAAGAGCAACATCCTTGCCCATTTCTATTTCTAACATTTCAGATATATATTTATAGTGTTTATTTAGAGAAACAGCAAGGCAAAACTCTGATATCTAGCTTAAAATACTCTTTGGATGCACTTGAAACCTTGGTACATAGGACTGTGTGTTTATTCAATCACTGTTGACTCATTCAAAACAGGTTGCTGCATCAAGGATGTGGAAACCTAAGTCTAATAAGAGGAAAAGATGGAAATCTGGGAAAAAATGACAGTGTGCTTTCTTCAGAAAAGAATGGGGAAAATAATTACCTAGGAAAATAATAATAGTAATAATAATAATAACAGCAACAGCAATAATAGAATCATTGATGCAAGTAATGAAAGTGGTCTTACCAAATACTTAGTACTTATTCAATAGCTTTTAATTTCTCACACAGCAGCTTCCTCTGTAAAGTACCACTACTAGTTAGCAACTTGGCTTTTACACTTCCTGTATTAAATTGTTTCCAACTATTGTGCTAGTAAGGAATGCTTTATCTCCCTTTCACAGTGTAACTTTTCTTCCTAGGAATAGAAATCTTCACCCATTTGTTATCTTATTTGTTCATCCTGTTTTCAACATGAACATCTACTGTTTCATGTCATGAATTTCAAGTCTTTTCCAGTTCACTTATCCACCTACTCCATATGCACATATACAGGCAGCATCCTCAGAGACCTGTCAAAATTATTAGCTCTTGTATTGCACCCATGGACTCCTCACATGCACGGATAATAGAGACAACAAGGTTTCATCAGGCAGTAGACCTTTGAAGTCTCCTCCCATCATATAGCTGATATTCATACTTTCTTTTTTACTTTTTGCCTACCTATCCATTAATTAGATTCATTATTTCCTTTGCACTATAAGGACATTGTGCAAAGCTTCAATTACTCTGGTAATCTGAGATCAGCAGCTGGGGATAGATCCTGAACCATTTAAGTCAATTAGAAGTTATCACTGCTATTACAACCTGGGAGCTTTTCACCATGACTTGAAAAGCAAAAGGAATCTTCAGCGCTTTGATTTCACTAGAGCTAATGCCAGTTTTGTCAGATAAGGATTGAACCCATACATTTAAAGTTCCAACTATTTTATATAGGTGAAGAACAATATGACATATGAATCATATGCTTTGTTGAGTGATGGAAAAGAACAGCAAAGACTACTGCAAGGTTTCTCTTCCCTCCAGAAATACAGAACCACTACAACAGGAATAAAATTATACACAAGCTAATTTGTTATTTAGCATTTCTTACATAAATAAGCTGATTAATACATTTCTTTAAAGAAAAAAACGCTTAGGATTTTCTGAAAATTTTATTCTATACTGTATTAGTCTTAGAGACTCAAATAGTAGTAGCTTTTTGCAACTTCATTTCAAAATCCTGGGTGTACAACAATCACAATGCAAGATCTGTATAGAACTGAAGTAGACATAAGGACTAAGTAATAAGAAACGAGGGACAGTGATTTCCTGTTGGACACTGTTGGAAGTGGAGCACATAGATCAGTTAATAATAGAAACAAAAATATGGACTTGTATCTATAAAATCAGCGCATGTGTTGGGAAAATTATCTAAATGTCCTGCTGAACACCATTTTATCTATTATGTCTTTTCCTACAAAGTCAAAATTTTTTATAGTATCAGGTACGTTATTTCACCAGTTTCTCTGTGTGGTGATGGTGGTAAATAAACATAACATTTCAAATTAGATTTGCAATTTTTTCTATGTAAGCTTTTCTGTCATACTTGATTGAGGGATTACCATCAACTAACTAAAGTAATGAATTTTAGTTGTCTTTCTGCTTACAGCCTATCCACAAACATATCGCAGTTCCATAGTTTTCTTTCATTAAGTCACTAAGTACAGCTAACCTTCCACCACACTGGAAAACAAACAAAAGAATTCACCTAGAGCCAAGCAAATCTTTTCTACACTATTTTGACATTTCCTGTTTGGTCTCAGGTGCTTAGTTCCAACTTTTCCTGAACTTATGTTTAGTATCCAAAATAATCACACAACCCAGCATTTTCAGACATGTTTGAAATTGAGGAGTTTTTTCCCCCCTCAATCTTTACAGAAGCAGTCAATTGAACAAATAAATATACTATAACAGTATTTTAATATTTCAGCATAACTTAGAATTATGCAGTAAAATAAGATAAATAAATTCAGGTTCATTCCATGTCAAACTACCTCAGAAAATAACTGCAACAGACAAATAAAAGTGAGAGGTACAGGACCACAAAGTCTGAAATGATTATAAACCTATTTTGTCATTTGCAATCATTGCATAAAATCATAGAATGATTTCCAGTAACCCCCAAAATATATTTATCTTGTTTACATCCTTTCCTTACCAAAATATCAGAGATCATAGGTGACCAAGCAGCAGTTTTATCTCCCTGAAAATAAGTTGCTCTGAAGCTTGTTTTCAGCCTGCGTTAAGTGTTGGATTCCAAGTCAAATGCCTCATGCCTATATTTTTTCTTTAAAGGGGTGGCTCCAGGCTGAGGATTCTGCCTTCTCAGCTCTTCTGGATGTACTTGAACATGGGGCAGGGTATAAGGAGAGGTGTCAAGATCATGTTGTCATGATCCTACATTGCCCAGAAGTTCTATTCAGAGAGGAAAAGGAAGTCTGAACACCAGAGAAACCTGTGGGTTTGTATCTTAACTACCAACTTGTATATAATGAAGCATAGTGACATTTCTCAAACAGACCCTAAGAATACCCTGTATTCTGAAAAAATCTCTAATATTTCAGTATTTTTATAAGTTTGATGTGCTTCTGTGTTCTAACATCTTTAGTTAAATATTTTTTCAGTGTGAAAATATGATAAAAATTCATTATATTATATTTTTTCGACAATTCCCTATAGACAGATTGCATAATTAGTGGTTGCATTATAAATTTACGTTAGTCACATATTCATGTCCATTAATAAATTCTACTTGTCCCTGTTTTTATTTGCTTGGAAGTGGAGACTATTTGAATAGTAAATCACAAGTATTGATTAAGTAGTATAAATAAGGGGAAATAAGCATATATTACACATTTATTTATGTCAGTGATGTGACTGCAGTGTACTTTAGAAGGAAGTTCCCAGTAAGTGCATCATAAAAGATTTAACATAACCAAATGGATTGGAAAGATGCTGGTATTTTGGTATATTCCAATGATAGTAGAAACTGATAACAACTTAAGAAAAGAGAACAAGAGAGCGTAGGCTACCTCTTGCTTGAGAACTTCAAATCATGGTGGGAAGCAGGGGAGGTCCCACATATATATGTTCTGAAAGTCTTTAACTTAATGAAGTTACTGAGAACATCTTATAACTGGTGTTTTACAAAATGTTAGATTCTGAAGGTAATAGTATATGAAAATTTGGTTAATGAATTCATAAACCACAGTTTTCTTTTAAGTTTGGACATCTCTGTATTACATTCCTAAGGAACTAATGAATTCAGAACCAGAATATAGCATGTTTTAAAAAGTTCACATTCTGAAACAATTGGGTCCAGGCAGCATTTCCTGTAATGGAGGAAAAGCATTTGCCAATCTCTGCATGAAGTTCACAAAAAAAAAAAAAAAAAAAAACAGGCCTAAGTTAAGTTTTTTTAACAAAGATTTCTGTGTATTAGTGTACTGCAGAACACAAAGCGGTTAAATCGTTGTCTACCACATGAATTTGTTAATTCGCCTCCTTCAGTGATGTAAACATATTAATTAGGAAAAAGCCCACACCAGGAGATGAACCTCTGATCTATATGCAAAGTTTAATAATCACTGTACCACGGTGATTAGAATGATTATGGGGATACTGTGAAGAATTCATTTGCAGCAACTAAGCCAACATCTTTGCATTTGTTTTGAAAAACAATTATAGACCTTAATTGGGAACCATGTAATGATGACAGCAGTTATTTCAGTGATTGATTCAGAAATTAAAGAGAACTGGCAAACTAAATACCAGAATATCCTATATTAGAAAACTGAAAGGTTTAGACAGCATGTACCCTCTGCAAATCACAAAATAAGGCAAAATCCTAATACAGATAACTGCTTCATAGAACAAGCTCATGGATGAGCACCAGCTAAGATTTTGCTCATGTTTGAAAAGGAAGAAAGCCAAAAAACCCTAGAACAGCAGCATAAACCTAGATCAACTAAAGCGAAAACAAAAAAAAGAAGAGAGCAAAGGTAGATAAAGGTCAAAAATCAGCTGCAATTACCGATGTTCCAGTGTTGCATCTAAATTTTTTAATGCATTAATAAAGAAGGCTGTGATAGGCAGAGCCAGATAAATTTAACAGTGCCAGAATTTGTTCACAAGATTAAATTGATTTTATATTTTAATCAGTCATTACTTCTCTTTAAAAACAACAAATGAAAAGTCAGTATCTTTGTTTCTTCTGTACATACTAGTCAAGATTTGCTTTGGAACACAAATGTATTTCACAGCACAGATTAAAACCTTTCTCCAGAAGAACAACTGCCTGTGCAGTCTGATCTTGTAGAGAAAGGTCTGTGGGCAACCAAAGTAAGGAATTGTGCTGTGCATCCAGGTCACATCTTCCAGGAATAAAGTTATGATGGAAGTTTGCTTCAATTTGTTAGCTGTGGAAACTACCATCACTATCAGTAAGTTCATCTCTGCAAATAACAAATAGATTTTTTTTTTATGCTGTGATTTCAGGTAATTAACAAGGAGACTATTGCCCTTGTTTCAAGGACTGCCCTAAAGCATTCTGCAAACTCAAAGTGAGCCATTAGCAGTTCCTGTGTGGTCTTTGCATCCTACAGAGGGGTACACCATGCCTACATAAGCCAACAGAAGTGATACAGGCAGAAGAATTGGTTGTGGTATAAAATTAGGAAAAGAAAATATGTGGTTATATAGTTTTAGGACGCCGGCAACCTTAAGTGTGGTATTAACAAACAAAAAACTTGCAGACATCAGTGAGGTACTTTATTGTTCCATCAGACTTTCTAGGGAAAATGAAAATTCAGTGACTAACAGTAAAGCCACAAAATTTCCCTTCTTAAAGCATAATTTTTTTTCTTTGAAATATAAGCTTAATTTTGACATTTGTAAATAGATTTGTAATGTTGCAGACAATTCATTTCCTACTTACTGTACTAACAGGAACAAATCACGTTTTAAACTCGTAGCACTCATTAAATTATGAGTTTCAAGTCTGCTGCACAAAAACTTCTCTTGTCTGTCCTCTGAAGTGTAATCCTTCATGATCTATAACTCCAAATCATTTTTGTAACCAAATTTATGGCATCATTGCAAGCACCATAAAGTACATTCAGGTACCATTTATATTATAAAAAATAAGGTAGCTGTAGTTGAGGCATATACAATGTTTTCAAACAGATGGACAACTTAGTTTGTATGAATAAGATATAATTACTTTTTGTAGACATTTGTGTGAGCACTGGTGATTAGCATAAAGGCAGTAAAGATTTTTCAAAGAACAGAACTATTGGTATTATTAAGATTGATATAAGAAGCAGTCTTGTGTAAAAAATGATGTAATTTTGTGATATTTAACTACATTTTTATCATTACAGTTATGCTACAGCACACTATATAAGATAAATATGAATAGGCTCTGTAAATTGTAAGCGTAATTTGATTTTTTTTCCCCTCAAAGGTGGAAGCAAAATGGCACAGATATTGATCTTACCATGAGTTATCACTACAGGTTGGTTGGAGGCAGCTTAGCAATCAATAACCCACATAAAAACCAGGATATTGGAACATACCAGTGTTTGGCCACAAATTCGTTTGGAACAATTCTGAGCAGGACGGCAAAGCTTCAATCTGCATGTAAGTTGGGAAGATCATATTTATTAGAACATTATTTTCCAATTAATTCTGCACATGAAGTGCAATTTATTGGGTAATTAAAGTATCATCGGTGATTCTTTTCAAAAGATTTAGCTTGCTTCAGCAGTGCTTATTATTAAAAAGCCTTTCCTGGTAAATATTAATAACAAAACCAGACATATGATGGCTGCTAGCTCTCAGGAACAAGAATAATTTTCAGAAAATTAAAGGTCAAGAAAGATAAGTACAATTATAACTTAATAAAGGTGTTTCCTGGTGTTTTTAAGACAGTGCTTTCTTTGCTGCATTGCAAGTAGTTACAATAGGAGCAGAAGAAATGTTGCCAAAAACCAGGCTTTCTATTTTCTATAGCATCTGAGTCCTAAAAGCATTGTAGTCCCAATTGCCACACTGATATTTTGTAACATTAACAGAGTAACAACACTTTTTTCCTTGTACAGTGTGCAAAATGGTGACCTGTACTTTAAATGTTGCACATTTCAGCTCATTGACATATAGCATGCATGCTGTCTTAAGCTACTTAAAATTTAGAATCATAAAAGATTGAGGATTGGAAAGGACCTTAAGATCATCTAGTTCCAACCCCCCTGCCATGGGTAGGGACACCTCACACTAAATCATGTCACCCAAGGACTCATTGAACCTGGTCTTGAACACTGCCAGGGATGGAGCATTCACAACCTCCCTGGGCAACCTGTTCCAGTGCCTCACCACCCTAACAGGAAAGAATTTCCTTCTTATATCCAACCTAAACTTCCCCTGTTTAAGTTTTAACCCATTACCCCTCGTCCTGTCACTACAGCCCCTAATGAAGAGTCCCTCCCAGCATCCCTATAGGCCCCCTTCAGATACTGGAAGGCTGCTAGGAGGTCTCCATGCAGCCTTCTCTTCTCCGGGCTGAACAGCCCCAACTTCCTCAGCCTGTCTTCATACGGGAGGTGCTCCAGTCCCCTGATCATCCTTGTGGCCTCCTCTGGACTTGTTCCAACAGTTCCATGTCCTTTTTATGTTGAGGACATCAGAACTGCACACAATGCTCCAAGTGAGGTCTCACAAGAGCAGAGTAGAGGGGCAGGATCACCTCCTTGGACCTGCTGGTCACGCTCCTTTTAATGCAGCCCAGGATACGGTTGGCTTTCTGGGCTGCAAGCACACACTGAAGCCAGCTCATGTTCATTTTCTCATCAACCAACACCCCCAAGTCCTTCTCCACAGGGCTGCTCTGAATCTCTTCTCTGCCCAGCTTGTAGCTGTGCCTGGGATTGCTCCGACCCAGGTGTAGGACCTTGCACTTATCATGGTTAAACTTTATGAGGTTGGCATCAGCCCACCTCACAGGTGTGTCAAGGTCCCTCTGGATGGCATTCCTTCCCTCCAGCATTATCAACCGAACCACACAGCTTGGTGTCATCGGCAAACCTGCTGAGGGTGCACTCAATCCCACTGTCCATGTCAGCAACAAAGATGTTGAACAAGATCAGTCCTAACACAGATCCCTGAGGGTCATTGCTGGTCTCCAGCTGGACATTGAGCCATTGACCACAACTCTGCGTGCGGCCATCTAGCCAGTTCTTTATCCACCGGGTGGTCCACCTATCAAATTGATGTCTCTCCAATTTAGAGACAAGGATCTTGTGTGGGAAAATTCATTTTAATCTTGCTCTCCATTTAATTTCACAATCTTTTTCACAGTGTTACATGTGGTGACTGTATTCTGCTAATGCCCCAGGGTAGGGGAACAGCAGCAACAGCCAAAAAACCCTAAATATTGCCTCCAATCCTTTCCTTTCAGGGGAAAGGTCTGAGCTGTCTGTTGCTGGGAGAAAGCAATTGTTTTCAAACCTCATTAATAAAACATGTGTCTAAAGCCAGCCTTGTGTCGCTATTTCAGACACCAGCAAATGTATTACTTATTAATCTTGTTCCATTTCTCATAGCACATCTCATGTCACAGGGGTTATACAAAGGAGATATTAGAGGTCAGAGCAGTTCACAGACTCTCTTTTAGTAAAGCTGATCAAATGGTATATCTCTAGTATCTCATTTAATAATGTTTTACCTCAAATTTCTCTAAAAGCTTGCTTCCCAAGAGGTGATCAAATGGAAAGAAAAGTTTTGATTCATTATTTTCCCACTTTTTCTGAAACATCTTTACAAGCCAATCTTCCTGCATAGAGAATTATTTCAAGATCTGGAGATTAAATTGCTTATTTTTTAGAAACTAGAAACTTTAGAAAGAAGACAGAATAGATGGCCACAAGAAAAGGTCTACAGAATCTACAGTCCCCAAGGTACCAGGGTAGACCAGAAATGGTGCCGGAAAAAGACCCAAAGAAAAGTAATACCCTCAAAGGCACAAAAGAGATATTAAAAATTAAAAGGGGGAGGAGAGAGAGGAGGTGGGGAAAACCAGGAATATCTTTGGGAGAAAGAAGGCTCTGGTGATTGTTCAGCATATCGCATTACTCAGTGGTTTTATATTTTTGTGGAAAATGTTATCCTCAATTCAGATTTCTGGAAGCACTTCGGTTTGCCATCACTGCTCTCTCCCAGCCGACAGGGAATCACACTGGCTTGGTGCACCACCTCTTGGGGTATATAAACAGCTCTTCTGGACAGTGCTTCTTTGCACAATCATTAATGTCACTTCCTTCCTACGGCTTTCTATGTTTGCTTTTATCTATCATTATTTCATAACCATGAGTAAAACCAAAGCTAGCTCCTGAAAACTAGTTTAAGTATTTGCAAGGCAAAGGGTTTGGAGAAAGCTGAAATTTAAAGAAAGGAAAGAAAGCAAAAGCCTTACTAATAAGGAAGGCAGAGAAGAGTCCTTTCTGAATGGACAATTTTCCTTATGAGGTTGAGTTTACTAAGAAGCTCAACACGGGTTTGCACCTTCCTGCAGAGAGCAAGGTAGGTCTGCAGAGACCTTTTGCAACTCCCCTTCTTCTGGTGCAGCACAGCCAGAGGTCTGCTGTCAGACATGCAAACCTGAAATAAATTACATGTTATTTCTGGCCTGCCTCAGGCAGTGCACATCTCAATACAATGCAGTTGATGTCACTTAGCCGCTAGAGGACCTGTTTGCCAGAAAATAGACTTTGTCAATGGCATTAAGTATTTTCAGTTAACACTGTGCTGGTGAAACATTCCCTCTGATGAGGACTTAGTTCACTGATAGCTTGAAGTCTAATGCCAATATACAATAATCAAAACAGGCTAAGTATCAAACAATTTCTTTACTTATGTTTCATACCCCCACCAAGACATATCCCAGAGTTACTATGGGGAACTTGTCACATGAAGTTGGGTACTGTTTGTCCACAGCAGCAGTCAAACCCATAGCTCCCATCCTGTCTTAATCCTCCAGTTCTTAAGAGCAACCACATCCCATATTCAAGAAGCAGACTATTTTTTCTTTAGCAATGACAGGCATTTGCATCCTTTCCCACATAAAAAAGAAGACAGACAAATCGAAGGTTGTCATTTACATTGGCAAACACAAGCATACAGGAAAATGTTTCAATTTCACAGCATCACTGTGAAACTGAGTTTTATCTTGCCTTACAATAGAAAAAAAACCAAAACAAACCAACAAAAACACACTATATGGAAAATGTTATAATGACCTTATGAGATGAGTGGAACAAATTACCTTGAAACAATTATTTCACAGTTAACATTTTCTTTCTTATTCTGTTGCCACCTAATTTACTTCTTTGTTTCAACCAATACTTCAGGCTATATCTTAAAATCCAGGTAAGCATGTTGATATTATAGCACTTTTATTCAATGCCTAACAAAAATGGGACTGTTCCCTGAACTGAGCTGCCTTGCATATTTATTGCAATCACCATGATAAATAATTGAACCAAGACTATTATTCAAGTAATGGGGTTTATGTGTATTTGTCTTTTACTACAAGGTACCTAACTGAGTATGAGTTTGAATTAATGACAACTCTAGAAACCTACTGTACATGTGAACTTAATATGTGAAAAATACTTTTTCCTCTGTTCAAGATAGTGAGCTCCCTTAAGTAGCAAAATAAATGTGGTATGAGATTAGAAATATGTCTTCAGATTCAGGTGGCATTTCATGCTTATCCTCTATTAAAAACAGAGCTGTCAAATGAAAGCTGCAGGAGGAACATTGTACAGAAGGAAGTGGCATAGATTATTAAAGCTACAAGCTGAAAATGAGAGACAGCATCAGTGAGAGAGCAGAGCAAGAGCACATTAAATGCATTAGCAGCCTGCATAGGATGGCAGCCCTGTATTACTCGTACTTCCTGGCAAAGGTTTGTTTTGTCATAAATAAAGTTGAAAGCTCCTTATAAATCCTGTATGTCTGTTGCTGCCCAGCAAGCAGTACATGTTGAAAAACTAATGTGTTTTCCAAGAGCTGGAGCTGTTGATCTGGATCTTCAGTCTGCTTAAAAAAGTGCTGCTGTCACAGCCCAGCTTAGGTAGCCAAAGCCCATCACAGGCACAAGGGTCCTTACACAGATCTGAGCTTTGCTCCCAAGATACAACCTGCCATCCACATGATGCTTTCCCCATCAAGTTCAGTATTAACATCCAGCAGAAAGTCACCTGTAATGCTTCAGCTGCACATAAAGGGAAGGTCAAAGACAACTGCATGAGGAACTCATCTTTGTGAAGTATGCAAGAGTCAGCTTGAAGAGTTGGGGACATGGAAGGTTTTCCTTCAGGTTTTACAGTTTTCAAACCAAAATGAAGATGCTCATGCACAAGCTTCCCAGATGTCACAGGTTTTGCTCCTCCTGCATGCACATTGGAGCAGACACTTGTGAAGCAGCTGCCCTGAGCCCTGCCATCAACAGTCACCTCCCAAAGCATGACAAGGTCTGACCAGGCACAGACACAGCAGCTATCACTTTTGAGCCAAAGATACTAAGATCACAGTCACATTCAAAACTCATGAGAGAAAGAAGCATCCAGGTTTAAAGAGTATTT